TCTTCCCCAGCTCGATGCTGTCTCTCGCGGGGGTGACCGAGGTTGCCCCATCACTGCAGCGTCGGGCCACATGCCCGCCCGGGTATAACGGGGCCCGCTTTCTACCCTTTGCCAGCCTCTCGCTGCAGCTTGCCCTTCTCTGCGGATCATTCTCCCCACGCTCTCAACCCATGTCGCACGTAGATGCCACTCACATAGCCCGCGGTGACGCCTGCGCCGGCCAGTACGAGAGTGGCGGGCAGGAGCACCTTGAACCTCTTCTTCTGTCCCCTCTTTGTCGTCTCGCACACGGCATACGTAAGCAGCAGGCTGGTGTAGATCATGGGCAGTTCGTCGAGCAGCTGAGCCTCGTGCTTGAGCGTCATGTGGAAGAGCAAACTGCCGATGCCAATGAGCGCAATGCCGAGATTGACGAGGAGGAAGCGCAGAGGTAAGTCGTGCGCCAGGCAGCTGCGCGCGCCGTAGAGGGCCAGAGCTAGGAAGAAGAGGTTGGAAATCGTGTTTGCCGGCTCGGCTATGTAGCGCGTCCAGCGATACTAAGAAAAGGCGCGTGCGGAGGCTGAGCCGGCAGATGCAGAAGAGGAGAAGTGAGGGGGGGGGGGGGCGACACGCACTTTTTCTTCACACCACAGCAAGGAAGAAGTGATGTCGCCCCAGTAGCCGTGCGTGGGCAGCGGGCGCTGCTCCAGGAAGGCCATCGTGGTGCGCGCCGGGGGGGTGCGGGGGTGCGGTGCAAAGTGGGGAGGGAGGCGGGCGCGCGGCGGTGGGGCGGGTCCGGGCGAGCGGCGAGCGGGGGCCAGGGCAGAGGCCAGCGCTGCGGTGCGCTTTTTGCTGAGTGGGGATGCGACGCAGTGGATGTGGATGTGACGGGTGGTGACGGTGGTGCTGAAGCAAAGGCTCCTCGCTGTCGTGCGCAGCCAAAGTGCGCGCCGGTTCGCAGCTCCGCGGCTTGAGAGGCCAACGTGGAGGTCACCCGCTGCTGCCGGCACTCTACTCGCGATTTCTGTGAGTTGATTTGCCAGCGCGGCGTTGCGAGCACGCTCGCTCCAGATAGACTCTTACTTCAGACTTGGCGCCGCGGAAGGGGGGGGGGGGGCTTCTATTGAGCCAACCAGACGCATGCTGTGATCAAAGCAAGCCAGGCTTGACGGCGCATCGAGCCACCTGATGCAGCCTGGCACTCTGACTGCCACGTCGCACGGCGAGCCAGTTGAGGTCTACTTCTGGCGTGGCAGACGCAAGCCATCGCAGAGCAGCGAGGTGCGCTATACATCTCTCTCTCTCTCTCTCTGAGCTGCACACTGCGCAACTGTCGTGCGCCTAAACGAGGCGCAAGAACTGCACCAACTCAACATCAGAACGACAAGCCCTTGGTGCTGCTTCGCAGTGGGGCCAGCAAGATCGCAGCGCGCGCCCTGCTGCGCCTCGTCGCACAAGGTGGGCCTCGCTGCACTGGGTCTCCTTTCTCTGGTGCGCTAGCATTTGCTGTCCCGCGCAGCAGCAGCCCGCTTGCAGAGCGCTTAGGCGGTCTGGCCATTCATATGGTCAATGCCGCGGCTTGCGGCAAGCGGCGCGGCGAGAGAGGGCATCTCCGTGCTCGCCCCCCCCCCCCCTGTGAGAATCTCGAAAGTGGAGCAGGCGGCCGTCTCCGCCGGCGCTCGGCGCAGGAAGCGCGCCGAGGCCGGCACGCGCGCCTCTTTCCCTGTCACGCGCGCCGCTCCGCCAGAAGAAGGTCGCTGCGCAGGTGCAGCGCTCGACGTCGCTGCCGATTCCGTCCAAGTTGCGCTCCCAAGGCGTATCTGTTGATCGTCAGCATGCAGGGAGAAAGATCTGCAAACTGGGCTGCACGCAGGCGTCGTGCATCTTCGAGCCTGCCCTGTGCTCTGCCTCGACGAGAAGGCAGCGCTCAAGGCCTCGGAAGAGGGGCCACGGCCGACAACTGCTGGAGGTGCCTGCGACTGCAGTGCGTCCCACGCCCCTGGGCGCGCGCGCTGGCAGCGCTGCTCCCACAGCAGAGCACAGCCAAGTCGAGCTGGAGCAGAGGGCAGCAGGTGCGGCAGAACCAAGCCTTTTTCTCCTTTGGCCGCACATCCACAAGCCAGCCTTCTCTCCAGCGGCACGGCAGGCAGGCCCCCACGAGAAGACAAGCCTCTCAGGGCAAGGCAGGATGCGTGAGATGGCGGCCGCGAGCACGTGTCTTGTGTGGAGGCGTGCGATCGGCGCGCGCGAAGCATGGCGCGCCGCGCGCGGCGGGGCACACGGGCAAAAGCGGGCGGGCGGGCGAAGCGGGCGAGTCGCGCCTCTTGTCTCTCACCTCGGCGCCGGGCGCGGCTGCAGGCTGCGGGTGCGGCTGGCGCGCGCCGGAGAGAGCCAAGCGTTGCCCCCGCACCGCCGCTCCGCACCGGCATCGGAGCGGGCGTCGGGTGCGGAGCACGCGCTGCGCCGCGCGCGCGCACGCCGCACGACGACAGACGGTGGCCGGTGCGCTCGCTCTCTCTGCGCCGCCCGGCAGCCGGTGGTCGGGGTGCGCCAGCGCGCGTGACTGCGAGCCAGCAGCGCGGCAGGCTTGGCCTTGCCTTGCGTTGACTCGCAGCGTGGCTCTCGCCGGTGCCCGACACTTCGCTCTTCCTCTCACCCCTCATCACCCCGCGCTCGCCCTTGCCGCATCAAGGCCACCCCACCACCCCCGCTCCACTCCCCACTCCCGCGTCGCCAGCCATGTCAAAGACGAACAACAACAAGGCCAAGGTGGCGCCCTCGACGCACCTCATCGCCGGCGGCATCGCCGGCTTTGCCGAGGCGTGTACTTGTCACCGTGCGTATTGTGTGCATGCTGGGGGCAAGCTAGTGGGGGGGGGGACTGCTGCGTGGGCCGCGTTTGCGCATGCTTGTCCTGCGCTGCTCGCGGCGTGTAAGGCTTGGCTTCAAGTGCCTTTGCGACGACGGGCTCTGTGTGTGTAAGCCCCCGCTTCATGCCGTTCTCGACGGCGTAGGCTGCGAACAGGGCCGCTTGCGGCGGCGGGGGGGGGGCGGGCAACTGCGTCTTTGCCCGAGTGTGCAACGACTGAGGGTTGGCGATGTGTGATCTCTCTTGCTTCTTCTCCATGCCCAGCCCGATGTTTGCTTCCAGCGGGCTGCCCAGCTTGTTAGCTCTGCTTCTTATTCCTGTGTGGCATCATTCCTCACCCCTCCCCTCAACCAGCGCTCGACACCATCAAGGTGCGCATGCAGCTCTCGCGCCGCGGCAAGTCGAGCGGACAGAAGCCGCGCGGCTTCTTCGCCACGGGCGCCTACATTGTCAAGCGCGAGACGCCTTTGGGGCTCTACAAGGGGCTCGGCGCCGTCGTCACGGGCATCGTGCCCAAGATGGCCATCCGCTTCATGAGCTACGAATACTACAAGAACATGATGGCAGACAAAGCGACGGGCGCGACGAGCAGCAAGGGCATCTTTGTCGGTGAGGTCTTGGCGCAGAGAGAGGCGGCAGTGCAAGCGTGGGAGAGCTGACCGTTCTTGGCTGTGTGCAGCCGGCCTGCTCGCTGGTACGACCGAGTGAGTCTCGCTGCAGAGCTTTGAGGCGGGGGGGGGGGGCGCATGTTGCGAGATGGGTTGCGTGCTCCGGGCAGGCTCTGTTGCGTTTTTTTCCTTTGCAAGCCCGCACTCTTCCCCCCCTGCTGACACTCGCAAACAAGGGCCGTGGCAGTGGTGAACCCGATGGAAGTCGTCAAGATCCGTCTGCAGGCGCAGCAGCACTCGCTCGCCGACCCTCTGGAGGTGCCGCGCTACCGCAATGCCGCCCATGCGCTCTACACCATCGTGCGAGAGGAGGGCTTCATGACGCTCTACCGCGGCGTCGCCCTCACGGCCGCACGACAGGCGACGAACCAGGGTGCGTGAGAAGTGGGGTTCAGCCTGGACCAAAAGACGGAGGGGGACAGGCACCACGCAGAGAGCTACGCGGCAGAGAGGCGCAGAGAGTGGCGCGTGTAGTTTCGTAACAGCCGCATCGCAAGAGCAAAAGCTGACTCCTCTCTCTCTCAGCCGCAAACTTTACGGCGTACCAAAAGATCAAGGACTGGGCGCAGAGCTACCAGGGCACGACGGAGCTGCCTAGCTGGCAGACGGCCGGCATTGGTCTGATTTCCGGTGCTCTCGGTCCCTGTACGTTGTTTCTCCTTGTCTCCCCTTTCTGGCCTCTATCCCTCGCTGACGTCTCTCCCTTCTTGCGCAGTCTCCAACGCCCCGTGCGTGCCTCCCCCCTCGACCCTTGCTGCGCTGCTCAACTCCTTGCGCTGACGCTGTGACGCCCCCCCTGCCCGTTAGCATCGACACTATCAAGACGCGCATCCAGCGCGCGAGCCGCGTCGAGGGCGAGACGGCGCTGAGCCGCGTCATGAAGGTGGCGGGCGAGATGTTTGCGCAAGAAGGGCCGTCGGCCTTCTGGAAGGGCATTACGCCTCGTGTGGCGCGCGTCGCTCCTGGTGCGTTCTTTCGGCTTTGTGCCCCCCCCCCCCCC